TAAGAAGCATCATCATCATGAAACATCATGATCATCATCGCCACTCACGTTGGAATGTTTCTCAATAGTTCGTGCGCTGAAGCATTTTGATGCCATAGTGAAAAATCTGAAATAATTGTTCCGTCTTTTCCTTCTTTTGGAGTGGCTTTATGTTTCTAGCAATATGAAGATCACCAGTTGATATCAGTGTGCTAGAATCACTACCGTGGAGCCTTGTGAAAAAAATTCCACAAATTCCAGTGAATCAAAGAGTCAGGAAAACTAGTTCGCGTTAAACAGGATGGCGCAAAAAACTTTTTTTTTTAGAAAAATAGGGGGGAAGAAAAGAATATGTTTGCACTGGAACCCACGGGGTCAGAGGAATAAAGGTCCACCAATATTTTAATGGAGGACGGAACTAGGGAGTGAAGCAAATCAGATGTAGAAGACATAAATGATAGAAAGACTGAGTTAGTTAAAGGCACATGCTTCATTTGGGATAAAGGAAGAGGGGGGTCAGGGAAGAAAAGAAAAAGGAGAAAATGAAAAAAAGAACAAGAAGAACAAGAAGAAAAAGAAGATAATGATGATAATGATAATGATGGTAACGATAACGATGGTGGTAATAATGATGATGATGATAAAGTGTACAGATTTGTCATAAACAAGCCAGCTCTACAGCAGGCAGCAATTAATGAAGCGACCGAACAAAGGGTCGCTTTGTGAAGAACTTTAAAAAGAAACAGACATATCTGTCAGGTATGTATAACGTAATCAGTTTTGATTCCCTGCTTACAGTCACCATCATGAACATACTGTCTCAGAACCCAGTATATGATATGTAATCAGCCATGATTCTATGTCTGCAGTCACCATCATGAACATCCTGTCTCAGACTACAGTATATATTATGTAATCAGTCGTGATTCTATGTCTGCAGTCACCATCATGAACATCCTGTCTCAGACTACAGTATATATTATATAATCAGTCGTGATTCTATGTCTGCAGTCACCATCATGAACATACTGTCTCAGACTCCAGTATATGATATGTAATCCGCCATGATTCTATGTTTGCAGTCACCATCATGAACATACTGTCTCAGACTCCAGTATATGATATGTAATCCGCCATGATTCTATGTTTGCAGTCACCATCATGAACATACTGTCTCAGACTCCAGTATATGATATGTAATCCGCCATGATTCTATGTTTGCAGTCACCATCATGAACATACTGTCTGAGACTACTGTATATATTATGTAATCCGCCATGATTCTATGTCTGCAGTCACCATCATGAACATACTGTCTCAGACTACTGTATATATTATGTAATCCGCCATGATTCTATGTTTGCAGCCACCATCATGAACATACTGTCTCAGACTCCAGTAAATGCTATGTAATCAGCCATGATTCTATGTCTGCAGTCACCATCAAGAACATACTGTCTCAGACTACTGTATATATTATGTAATCAGCCATGATTCCATGTCTGCAGTCACCATCATGAACATATTCTCTCAGCCTCCAGATTAAGTTATGTAATCAGTCATCATTCTATGTCTGCAGTCACCATCATGAACATACTGTCTCAGACTTTAGTATGTGTTATGTAATCAGACACGATTAAATTGTCTGCAGTCACCATCATGAACATACTGTCTCAGATGTCTGAACAGCTGAAGACACAAACAGAATCGTTGAGCAAAGTATTGCAGGAATTTTCCAAAAATTGAAAAATCGTTTGAAACATCATGCGTAGCCAAAGATGGTCCATCGACTGGCCAACAAAATACTGAAGTGGTGGTAAGTATCGTTACCTTAATTGGTGCATACAGTCTTTGAAAACCATTTGGTAAGACTAGGGTATTGATTTTTTTTTTTCCCATGACGATCGGGAGTGCGTGGTAAAGAGCAGGCTGATGGATTAGCTGCTGCTGTTGATCTGGGCGGTAAGCTGCTTTATAATAAAGTAAAGATGGTGAAGGTTTTCTGGGGAAATGCAGTAGAATAGAGCATTCATGTCTGGGGGGAAAAGATATAAAACCGAACGAAAAGCTTCATGTCTGGGGGAGAATGATTCAGCTGGGAGTGAGCGGCGGGTCTGGTCAATTTTTTACCGTCAGAGAAAACAATAGACGAACTTTTAATCAAGTTTAAGCTGGCAAAAGCGGTATAGGAACCCTTTGTTGACTACTGAGGACTGGGACTACGCACATATGGGAATGTCTCGAGTGCAGTAAAGTTAATTCTTGATTCATTCATTTCAAATAACAGTGAGCTGATTTCATATTTATAAATTATAAAGGCACAAATATGCTATATTTCGATGTATCGCAATGGGATAAAAGGTCATGAACGAACAGACCAACTGGCACGTAAACATACCTTAAAGGCCCTTCTAATGCGACTGGCAAATCGGTCATTAGACTCACATATCTATAGACCACTCGACACTCGGTGAGTGGTTAGGTCAACAACAGGCCGGTTTCTCCCTTTACTTCCCTGGGCATTAGCTAGTAGCTATTTCAGGGTGGGCTGCCCCAGGAGACGGCCTGGAAGCTGATTAGAACCCAAACGTTTGAACACGAGGGTCTGCAGAACTTAAAGCTGAAGACGGTCGTAGTTCGGGTTAGCATGTGAAACAGTGATGATAGCGGGCAAACAGCTGTAACCGTATGGAAACAGCTTTGACTGCAGAGACACAACTGTCACAACGCAGAAACAGATATAACAGTAGGGAAACAGCTGTGACAGAAGGGAAACAAGTGTCACAGTGGCGAAACAGGTGTGACAGCACGAAAACAGCTGAGACAGCGGGGAAACAGCTTCGACAGCAGGGAAACAGCTGTGAAAGTAGGGAAACAGCTGTAACCGCAGAGAAACAGATGTGACAGTGGCGAAATAAATGTGACAGCACGAAAACAGCTGAGACAGCGGGGAAACAACCGTGACAGAGGGAAACATCTTTGACGATCAGAGTAGACCAGGAAAGGGCACTTAAGACATCCTGGTCATCCACTGCACGTGAGCCCATGTCCAGTCGTCGATATTGCCCTGCCATTTCTTTTTCTTCTTCTTCTGCGTTCACCCGAAGATGTAATTGCGTTGTGTCCGTTTACAGAATGCCTGCGCTATTTGCACATTTTGGCCAACACACCAGACTTCTGCGGGCATTTGTTGACCGAGTTTGCCTTGCCGGGGCCCTGCCATCTGGTCCAAATGAACATAGGTGAGAGAGTGAGGTCAATGCATTGGTCAACTCTTCTTCATTTAAATCCAAGTCACTACCTCGAGTCACTTTCGTCAAATCACCATTCTCATCAACATTGAGTCTTCTGGCAAGCGAAATGGTCTCCCTGACTTGTAATGGGCGAACAACAACACGGATTCCACTTGTGAATAATGAGGAGTCTATCAGCTAACCCGCCTACATGACCCGGTAGTAAATCCTGGCGAAGCACGTCTATGTCGACTTCTAGATCAGAATAGAAGACAGAGCTAGTTTCGCGTGGGAACAGTCAGATAAGGAATCTTAGACTTTCTGCTGCACAGGAAGACTGGGCATGTGAAGTGCAGAAATGTCGATCCTGATAACCTAATTTACATAGACAAATACAACTAGGGGTGTTGTGTATGTGTTTACAGTTTCATTATTTGACTTTTCGCTAGATGCTCGCCTGCCCGGCCCAAGTTCTTGCATTCAACTCGCATCGAGGCGCATAATTTTTATTTATTTACTTCTGGCTTTTTTTTCTTTTTTCTTTTTTGGAAACAAAAATGCGGACATAAATAATACATTTCACAGTCTATTGCCTGGAATATTTGGCTGTGGGAAGCCACCGTGGTGCAGCGGGTAGACGCTCGCCTGCGGATCGTAAAGTCGTGGGTTTTGGTCCAGATGGAGCCGATCTTTGTTCAAAAATGACCTCGGCTCCCAGGTAGCAACAGTCTTGAGTGGGTACCAGATATAGTCCTGGGAAGTAAAGGTGGCCGATGTAATGTTGACTATATCACCGACCGAGTGCCGATTAGTCTATGAAACATATATCTAGCCCTATATGCCCAATACTTCTAAAGGCAGGGAAAGTGGTCCTTTCCTTCTACTATATCGGTATATTTATATCGGTGTATCTGTTCAGGTAAGTTACTACAGAGTTAAATCAACATATGATGAAACACACAATTAATCTATTTTCGCTGACATATATAAATCACATTGTTCAGTTAGGCTGTACACTGTCCACCGGAAATTCAAAATCAGTCGCATAATTACCATGGTAACTTCAGCAGGAAGTAAAGTCTGTATTGTTTATCACGTCATCCATGTGAGGTCCATTTGGTCTATAAACTTGGGGTTCTAGTATCGTCGGCTCCTTTATTTCAGATTACATGGTGTTATTTTGATTGCCCTTTAAAGGGGGGGGGGGGAGTTGGGGCAGGGGGGATATTAATATGCATTAATTGATTGCACAGAAATATGTCAGACAATATTTGTTCTGTCTGTAACATGTGTATACAATTTTTACTTTCAACAAATAAAAACATTGTCTGCAATTCTATATATGTTTGTTACAATCCAGGACTTTCTATTTCCAAATGTACCCGTGTGCTTTCCGTATACTCTGAGCCTAGTGCTAACAGTAACTTTTGTAGAGAAATCGAACATCTCAGTTCTTCTTTTGTGGTCTGATCTGAAGCAGGCTTTGTTTATAATCGCTCACCGGATATTCCCGCTAATCTGGTATTTTCATGACTATTTTGCTTATGTTAGTAGTGAATGTTGTTAGCCATAGTAATAAAGGTCGTTAACAGTTGATAACTGAGTTATTATTGTTGTAGTAATAGTTATCGTTGTAGCTGTAGTGTTGGAAGTAGTCGCAGCAGCAGTATTAGTAGGAGTATTGGTGGTGGTAGTGTTGGAAGTAGTAGTAGTTTTGTAGTAGTACTAGCAGCAGCAGTGGTGTTGTCGTTGTTGCATTTGTAGCAGCAGAAGCGTTAGAAGTAGTAGTTCTTTTTATTATTATTTATTCTTCTATCTTCCAATTCCGTGTGCCTGTTGAACATTTCAAACAATCTGGTGGTGTCGATGATAGGAAAATCCATTGGGTTGATGACATCCTGTTATCGAGGAATGCCCAGCTTAAACCCCAGGGTGAAGTTTAATTTGTGGAACAAAACTGTGGTCCTGTGTGACCCACAGACTGATGGTGGTGGTTGGGTAGTCATACAGGTAAGTCTGTTACTTGTTAGGTCTATGTTCACCGTCATCCCAGCTGACATGTCTGCCAGTTTCAAGCTTCAGCACAATGAACTTTCCAGAAAATTGTAACGTTGATTTCTAAATCAAGCTGGTCCAACTTTGGGGGATTTCATGTTGCATTCTTCACAAAAGTAAATACAATTATTTACAGTTGTATTGAGAGCATAAAATGTAAACGGAAAGCTCAAGAAACAAGATAACAACAGATCGCATAACAAACTGAACTTGAACGTGGCAACAAAACTGCGTAATAGAAGAAAAGTCTAGTCACCGCTGGCACCTTACATTTATTCAGATCGTCACAATGTACAAACCGGAAGTAGTTGTAGCAGTCACGGCAACCACGCCCTGTCCGCTAAGCCCATTCAGCACGCACCCCCCCCGAACCCCGTAGAGGGGCCCGGTGGACCTTTACCACCCCGCACCTGTAGGGAGGCCAGGTTGACATCTAACACCCCCGCACCCCGTAGAGGGGGCTGTGTTGACCTCTAACACCCCCGCACCCCGTAGAGGAGACGTGTTGACCTCTAACACCCCCGCACCCCGTAGAGGAGACGTGTTGACCTCTAACACCCCCGCACCCTGTAGAGGAGACGTGTTGACCTCTAACACCCCCTCACCCCGTAGAGGAGCCGAGTTGACCTCTAACACCCCCGCACCCCGTAGAGGAGACGTGTTGACCTCTAACACCCCCGCACCCCGTAGAGGAGACGTGTTGACCTCTAACACCCCCGCACCCCGTAGAGGAGCCGAGTTGACCTCTACCACCCCCCGAACCTCGTAGAGAGACCGAGTTGACCTCTAACGCCCCCGTACACGTAGAGGAGCGTGTTGACCTCTAACACCCCCTAACATTTTTGACCATATTTAAATATTTATATATATATATATATATAGTTGCGTCTTTTACAGAAGATTGAAGAACCACTCCCAGAATTTCTTTGACTATTGTAATTTTTTTTCTAGGCAACTAGGCAAATTTACGTTCAGTAGTTTGAAAGTGCCTTCTAAACGAGAGGCTGTCGATACTACTGTCGACACTAGCGTAAGGCGGTCTGCTGCCAAAACACTTGCAGCTGGGCTCAAACTGACACCCGACATTGCAAAGCCCGCTGGCAACGCCAAACCAGATTATTATTGTAATTTTTATTTTTACTATTAAAATTACCTTTTTTATTATACGCATTTAAACAAGACATAAAATCCATAGTTGTTCTCCGTCCCTTTAATTTACATACAACACATACTTACTGAGAATCGATTTAGGCATGTTTCAAGTTCCGGTGAACTAAGGGGTGAGAAAGACGCTGGAGTTGGATAGGACACGGGCTGAAAACCCTGAGAACAAAATAATTATCAATACCCCGGAAACCACAGGGATGTAGAAATAAGGCAGACTCAAAAACGTCGAAAAAGGGAGCGATAGAGTTAGAAAGACGGAAAGGACGTTAAGGACGTTAGACAGGCTGCGTGCGATAGCAAAGGTTAGGACAACCTGGCATGCGACATTTGAGGGCCTATACGTCAATGGAGGAATAGAAAGCAGGAGAAGAAAAGGCACATTCCCCTGCAGGTTTTAATTATATAATGTTTTCCAACTTTCGATCCAATGTCTAGAGAATTTGGAAGATAAGGGAGAAAGGGGGAGAGGGGTGTTTTATGGCCTGAAATTTAACCGCCGACTTTTAACCTGTGAGATACATATCTCGTCACTGGTCTACATCCACAAGTACAGAGAGGTCTACAATTTTGTTAGACAGACTGACCGACCGACCGACCGACCCACAGACATACATTCAGACAGACAGAAAGATAGATATTCGATGTGCATCACTAGTTCTAAAAAATATCAAAGATAACAAACATTCTGTCAAGAAACAAACATAAACCCATTTTAGACAATTAATAGCTGTTTCAGTGTCACATCACTGACTGGATTTTATATATATAATAGCGACGTAAAAAGGGGGATGTGAATTTCTTCCGCTCGTGGAATGACTACAAGAAAGGGTTTGGAACTGCAGACAGCGATTACTGGATCGGCAATGACAACATCCACGATCTGACGTCACAGGTAAGCATAGTAAAAGGAATCCCCCCCCCCCCCCCCCCCCGCCCAAATTACATGACAGTAAAACTTCGATTTCCGTTACTCGTTTAACCGTCAGTTTCTGTTATCCGTCATCGTCTAAGAAAAGGATCATTAATTAACCAAAAACCTTCAACTGGCCACTCAAGAAGCAGAAACAATGTTATCAAGTTCATCGACTGGTTTAAAATGCAAAAGGAGGCCATTGCAACACAAGTCCTATTTCTGCGTAAGTTACTGACCATCGTCGGGCAGAATGCTTTCGCCTGAAAGACTGAAAAGAAGATGACAGATTAGTTTTAAGTAACGTAAGTTTATAGTTTTACAAAACATTTCTGTACATTACCGATCTTATACTGAAATTTGAATTGGTTGTTTTGTAAAACTCAATACAATTGATATGTATTTTTTACTCTCATAGGATTTTAATTTCATGTTCGTCGCAAGCCCCTAGTGAAATCATGTTACTACATATGTGCATTAAGAGATTTCAGGGCGCTGACTATTAATCAAAGTTTGACTGTACTTATGTTCACTTGTATCACTGCTCGCTCCCTGATATCACTGGAGGATCATTCGTCTTATACTCAATGCCTTGTAGTGCTGGACAGACAGACTTACAGACAGACAGACAGACAGACAGACAGACAGACAGACAGACAGACAGACAGACAGACAGACAGACTTACAGACAGACTTACAGACAGACTTACAGACAGACTTACAGACAGACTTACAGACAGACTTACAGACAGACTTACAGACAGACTTACAGACAGACTTACAGACAGACTTACAGACAGACAGACAGACAGACAGACAGACAGACAGACAGACAGACAGACAGACAGACTTACAGACAGACTTACAGACAGACTTACAGACAGACAGACAGACAGACAGACAGACAGACAGACAGACAGACAGACAGACAGACAGACAGACAGACAGACAGACAGACAGACAGATAGATAGATAGATAGATAGATAGATAGATAGATAGATAGATAGATAGATAGATAGATAGATAGATAGATAGATAGATAGATAGATAGATAGATAGATAGATAGATGGATAGATAGATAGATAGATAGATGGATGGATGGATGGATGGATGGATAGATGGATGGATGGATGGATGGATGGATGGATAGATGGATGGATGGATGGATGGATGGATGGATGGATGATGGATGGATGGATGGATGGATGGATGGATGGATGGATGGATGGATGGATGGATGGATGGATGGATGGATGGATGGATGGATGGATAGATAGATAGATAGATAGATAGATAGATAGATAGATAGATAGATAGATAGATAGATAGATAGATAGATAGATAGATAGATAGATAGATAGATAGATAGATAGATAGATAGATAGATAGATAGATAGATAGATAGATAGATAGATAGATTAGATAGATTAGATAGACAGACAGACAGACAGACAGACAGACAGACAGACAGACAGACAGACAGACAGACAGGTAGGTAGGTAGGTAGATAGATAGATAGATAGATAGATAGATAGATAGATAGATAGATAGATAGATAGATAGATAGATAGATAGATAGATAGATAGATAGATAGATAGATAGATAGATAGATAGATAGATAGATAGATAGATAGATAGATAGATAGATAGATAGATAGATAGATAGATAGATAGATAGATAGATAGATAGATAGATAGATAGATAGATAGATAGATAGATAGATAGATAGATAGATAGATAGATAGATAGATAGTCTCCTTTATGTTTTTTAACTTTTGATCGAGTCAATGAGTCAGTGAGTCAGTCAATAAACTTCAACATCACTAGGACCGCACAACAAACACCGGGTAACATAAAGTGCCACCGTTTGAATGAGAATCGCATGGGCACAGATCACATAAACCCTGTTTAACCCCGTAGGTTATATTTAGGGCCCCGATGAGAGCTCAGATGGGGCTTTAAAATAACAAACAAATTGCTTCCCATATTGGGGCGGGTTGTCACCAACTATTTAGTGTCCATTTGCCTCTTCTATACAGACAAGGCTTCCAGCATATGAGCCTCAAAAAGTACGAGAAAGTCTGTTGATTAGTATGTTGATCCGTATTTTTTTTGTATGTTGGTTTATTGTAAACTAGCAATCTTATATGTCAAAATATTCTCCCATTTGATGTTTTTTCAGGGTTACAATGAACTGCGAGTGGATTTTGAAATAGACGGGGAAACATCTTACGGTCAGTGGTCATACTTCAACGTGTCTGACGAGGAATCAAACTACCGACTCACTATCAGTGGCATTTCTGGGACAATCTTTGACAACCTGTTGGAAAATAATGACGAGATTTTCAAAACTTACGACAGAAACGACTATAATCAGTGTGCAAGAAACAACCGTGCGGGATGGTGGTTCAGAGGTTGTGGCCCCAGCAATCTAAACGGAGTGTGGGGCGCTCAAGACAGAAGTGCCATTGCCTGGGGGGATGATAAAAAGTTTTCCAGCGTGGAAATGAAAGTCCGATATTCATAGAGGGACATTCTCATTGACTGGTTTACTTGTGCAATAGTTTATTAACGCATTGATTCATTGCATAGTAGATCGATGAAGTAATTCATTGACTGACTGATTCGTTGACTGGTTGATATATTGTTACTTGTCCGTCTCGACATCTGAGGACTTTGGTCCAACCCATTGGTGCTCAGTCCTTTTATGCAGCAGCCATCTCAGTGTCTCTATGCTCATCGTACAAATGAGGAGTTGATTTAGCATATCTCCTTTATTTTCTTCCCAACCAGTTTCTTCCTACTTGTGTTTAATACACATTTCCAACAGGTGGTTCGTCGTTTCGTCTAGCCGAAGTTTTCCAATCTAGAGTTTCTTAAGCATGTTTATTGAGTTTGTCACTATCAATGCGGGAGTTGCTTTTTGCTCCACAAACCATGCAAGTGTCTATGTGACAGCTGATATCTCCATCGCCGGTATAGGCGTTCATGCGTCGCCACAGATCTCGGTCTTTGGTGTTCTGGATTTATTCTACTAATGATATTCCTCCATGCCACTGTCTTAAGCCATCCACCATCATTTCTCTTGGTCTGCCTCTGCCTCTTCTTCCAGTAATCTTTCCAGTCGTGCTGATATTTTCCAGTGCTCTTTTTTTTTCCATTACATGACCAAAGAGCTTTGTTTGTCTCCTTCTCATTGTTGTATACAATGTTCTACTTTCATTAGCCATTTCCAGGCATTCAGTGTTGGTTATTCTGGCAGTCCAATGTATTCTCAACATTCTTCTCAAGAACCACATCTCAGTTGCCTCCAAACTCTTCCTAATTTGTTTACCTACATTCCAAGATTAACTATCATACACCAGAACAGATTCGCTGTAAAATTTCAGTACTCGTTTTCTGAGGTTTAATGAGAGTGATTTATTACATAAAATACTTTTTATCTGCAAAAGTAGTTGAACTAAATGCCTGACGGTCCTCTGTTACTGTCTTCCTATTCCCCTGTGCTGGGTATGCCCACTCAGACCGTATGTCCACCCAGACTGTATGTCCACTCAGACCGTAAGTCCACCCAGACCGTATGTCCACTCAGACCGTATGTCCACACAGACCGTATGTCCACCAAGACCGTATGTCCACCAAGGCTGTATGTCCACCCAGGCTGTATGTCCACCCAGACCGTATGTCCACCCAGACCGTATGTCCACCAAGACCGTATGTTCACTCAGACCGTATGTCCACTCAGACCGTGTGCCCACCCAGACCGTATGTCCATCCAGACCGTATGTCCACCCAGACCGCATGTTCACCCAGACCGTGTGTCCATCCAGACCATATGTCCACATAAACCGTATATCCACCCAGACCGTATGTCCACCCAGGCCGTATGTGCACCCAGACCACATGTCCACCAAGACCGTATGTTGACCAAGACCGCATGCCCACCCAGACCGTATGTCCACCCAGACCGCATGTCCACCCAGATCGTATGTCAACCCAAGCCGCATGTCCACCCAGACCGTATGTCCACCAAGACCCTATGCCGACCCTGTTATGGCTCCATTCTTTGCACAACCTGCCAAGGGCGATTATTACCTCAGTGTGCTCTAGTCCTTCTATCCATTCAACACTGAGCGTCTATTTTTCGGCGCTGACATTGTTCACCCAAAGGCACCGCGGTAGAGGGTCGGCAGAAACACTCAGATACGTTGTCTCGACTAGACCATATTATGTCAGGTGGCCATGCTTGGCAAGTGGTGGAGGTATCGCATAGGGTGATATGAGGTGTCTCTTGTGCATGAAATCCCTCCCCCTCCCACCCCACCCTACCCCCCCCCCCCCCTCAGCATCCCAGAACATTGGTACCTTCTTAGAATATCTTCAATACCCATAAAGACACAGGAAATGTTCGGCCACACATCCGGTGAAAACACAGTGAAACCTTCCAGTCACACTTCCACCTTAGCGAACCCAACGCTGTTCAGCGAGGGCGGGTCTTTGTGCAGTTCGTAGCAGGACTTCTGCGTTAACCCCTGGTAACCTTGGATTGGATCCTAGACATTGGAACTCCGTTTTATATCTTTAAAAAAGGGCCGGAGGAGGTGGGGGATAGTAAAACAAGTAGTCAGACGGCATTTTTTTTTTTTTTTTACACATTTAAATAAACAACATAGCTAACTATGAAAATGTATCCCTATCACATATCAATGTGTGTGAGTGACAAACTAATAAAATAAACATCGTTACAATCAATGTTTCTTGTGTTGGAAATACGTATATATAGTGTTCTTTGTACGGGCCTAGTTGCGTATGCAAGCCTATGAGAGAGTCTACTTAAGTACGAACGTCTCTGTCAGAGTCTGCTTCTGTTGTATAGTCTATCTAAGGCTCTATTTCTTATACTCTACGTGAGGGTCTTTATCTGAATTATAGTCTACGTGAGAGCCTACTACTGTGCCACAGTCAATCTGAGGGTCTTTGTCTGTATTATAGTCTATCTGAGGGTCTACTTCTGTATTATAGTCTACATAAGAGTCTAATTCTGTTTTATAGTCTACATAAGTGTCCATCTACTTCTGTAGTCTACATGAGGGTCTTCTTCTTATTATAGGCTACGTGAGAGTCTAATACTGTGCGACAGTCTATCTGAGGGTCTTTGTCTGTACTATAGTCTATCTAAGGGTGTACTTCTGTTTATAGTCTACGTGAGGGTCTACTTCTGTATTGTAGTCTACGTGAGAGTCTACTACTGTGCGACACTCTATCTGAGGGTCTTTGTCTGTACTATAGTCTATCTAAGGGTCTACTTCTGTTTATAGTCTACGTGAGGGTCTACTTCTGTATTGTAGTCTATGTGTGAATCTACTACTGTGCGACAGTCTATCTGAGGGTCTTTGTCTGTACAATAGTCTATCTAAGGGTCTACTTCTGTTTATAGTCTACGTGAGGGTCTACTTCTGTATTGTAGTCTATGTGAGAGTCTACTACTGTGCGACAGTCTATCTGAGGGTCTTTGTCTGTACTATAGTCTATCTAAGGGTCTACTTCTGTTTATAGTCTACGTGAGGGTCTACTTCTGTATTGTAGTCTATGTGTGAATCTACTACTGTGCGACAGTCTATCTGAGGGTCTTTGTCTGTACTACAGTCTATCTGAGGGTTACTTCTGTTTATAGTCTACGTGAGGGTCTACTTCTGTATTGTAGTCTATGTGTGAATCTACTACTGTGCGACAGTCTATCTGAGGGTCTTTGTCTGTACTATAGTCTATCTAAGGGTCTACTTCTGTTTATAGTCTACGTGAGGGTCTACTTCTGTATTGTAGTCTATGTGAGAGTCTACTACTGTGCGACAGTCTATCTGAGGGTCTTTGTCTGTACTATAGTCTATCTAAGGGTCTACTTCTGTACGGCAGTCTGTCTAAGAGTCTATGTTGTATTATAGTTTATCTGAGGGTCTATTTCTCATTTATAGTCTATCTGAGGGTCTATTTCTGTATTATAGTCTATCTGAGGTTCTATTTATGTAATATAGTCTACGTGAGGGTCTATTTCTGGATTATAGTACATCAGGAAACAATAAAAGCTATCTATCTCCCTTCCAATGGAAAGGCGCCTGGTCCAGATGCTATCCCAGCTGGAGTCTTCAAAATGGGTGGCCAAGATCTGACTGAGCAGCTACACAACATATTTCAAAGAATTTGGGAGAGTGAGACCATGGCACAGGATCCTAAGGACGTTGTAATAATTCAATTGTAAAAACGTAAAGGAAACTGACAGTCCTGTGATAACCACCGAGGTATCTCACTGCTTTCAGTTGCCGGAAAGATTCTTGCCAGGATTCTCCTGGGTCGTCTTACAGCTCATCTCGACAGAGATCTCCTTCCTGAAAGTCAGTGTGGTTTTAGAAAAGATAGTGGAACTGTTGATTTAATTTTCGCTGCTAGACAGCTGCAAGAAAAATGTCATGAACAGAATTCGAACATGTTTTCCACCTTTATTGATCTTACGAAAGCGTTTGACACAGTAAATCGAAATGGGCTGTGCAGGATTATAAAGAAAATTGGTTGCTCACACAAGTTCATCCAGATAGTGCGTAAGTTTTATGATGGCATGCAAGCAAGAGTGTAGGATAAGGGCGAACTGTCAGAGTCCTTTCCTGTCACAAACGGAGTCATACAGGGCTGCGTACTTGCACCGTCACTATACAGTCAGTTTTTTTAAGCCATGCTGACTGATGACTATGTAAATGATCACACTGGAATCGACATAAATTACCGCATGGATGGAAAGTTGTTCAACCTCAGGAGGCTGAAAGCAAAAAGAAAAGCTAAATCAGACACCACCAGGAAGCTCCTGTTTGTCAACGATTGTGCCCTTTATGCCAACACAGAAGGGGATATGCAGCACAACATCGACAAATTTAGTGATGCCTGTACAAACTTTGGGCTCACCATCAACAAAGATAAAACTGTAGCACAGCACCAGCCAGCCTCAGGGCAAAGATACATCGAGCCAAATATCACAGTGAATGGCCACAGATTAAATGTTGTCAGGAAATTTACTTATCTAGGCAACACCCTTTCACAGAGTGCCACAATTGATGACTAAGTAAATGCAGGGATCTCTAGGGCTAGCGTTGCCTTTGGCAGACTGTACAAAAATGTTTGGAACAGAAGTGGCATAACCCTGCAGACAAAGCTTAAAGTATACAGAGCAGTTGTATTAACTACACTACTGTATGCATGTGAAACATGGACTGTATACCTGCGCCAGGCTAGAAAGTTAAACCACTTTCACACAGTCTGCCTTAGAAAACTCATGCAGATCAGATGGCAAGACAAAGTACCTGGTATCGTAGTCCTTGAGAAAGCAGCCATGCCCAGCATCCACACTCTACTGATGCAGTATCAAATTCGTTGGGCTGGTCATGTGGCATGCATGCCAGATCACAGGCTCCCCCCCCCCCCCCAAAAAAAAAAAACTTGTCTATGGTGAGCTGGAAAATGGGAAACGTTCCCAAAAAAAAC